TTCCCAGAGCTCCAAGAAATAACAAGGTGTTCCTCATTTGAGTACAAAAGCTGAATATCGTCAACTTGCTTACACTGCCGATGCCCTCTCTTGGTACCGCACATTATTCTATGAGCTTCATCTTACTCTTGCTCCACCTCGGTTACGGTGTGATCTCTGTCGCCTAAAATCCTGTTTATCAATAACGCATGCGGCATGTCGAAGTTGATTATCACTACATTTGTGGGAAGGTCAGTCGTAAGGAGATTTTGGTTGGTTAAGTCTCCTCCATAGATAAGTTGGCTAATCTCTAACCAAGGGGCTGTTTGTTGTTTGCTTTACCTTCTTGCTGTCCAAACTTCCTGTCCAAGGTCGCACGGTTCGTTTGCGAGGGAGTGATAAACCAACATAAGTTCTTATTGTTTCTTATGAGCCACAGTCATATTCTAACAAGGACAACACAGAGGACATGCCTGGAGAAGACAAATCCTAGTCCTAGTCTGTTTAGTCTGCTTCTATTTATTGTGTAAATGTTAATGAAATCCGGCTCTCTCATTATTGAGTTGAGTTTACAAACATATCATATTATCTTTCACTTGACTGTCATGTTATCACTCACTCACCATCAATGTCATGCCATGTAGCTGGCGGAAGAAAGAAAAGGCATGAAGAATGGTGCAAAAAGGATGGTGAAAGACATGTTTATTGACACAAAATAAAAAGTAAAATTCCCAAACTGAAAAGGCTTATTTTATTAACACCCCACGTATTGTTGATTAAACCCTACATAAATACACCCCACATTTGCTTTTTCAATTAAAAATTATCTTAATACACCCCACGTACTTTCTTATAATACCCTTACACCCCACATTCTCATACACCTAATATTTTCCACATACACCCCACATTCTTCAAATCTTATAATACTCATTTTCAATTTTTATAAATTAAATTGACTTAGGATTAAAACCCTAACATTCTTTAAAAAGAGAATTCTACAATCCGGTCTATTGAGCTTGAGTTTCATTAATTGGGTCATCACGGCCAATCTCCTTTTCTCTATCCCTTAAGCCTTTTGCTAACGAAAAAGGATTTCTGCTAAAAAATGGCAATTGGGAGGAACCTAACAGAGCAAAAGTAAACCCCAAAGATGAATAAGAACAGAAAAGGCGTTGCTGGGTTGGCCTCCTATGAAATTGGGTAGTATGGAAAGCAAAAGCAGGCTTAAATAATTACCGATGTCGTTGAATAATTAAAACAATGACAAATATGAAATTTTACCTCATGTAAAGCTTCCAAAAAATTGATATCGTGTTCCATTCATTAATTTTTAATTTTTTTTTTTTTCAATCAATGTGTTTATAATTTCAATAGTTAGAATTGTATTCAACAATGGAGTGGAGGGTGGAAGGGGTTTTGATAGTTGAAGAAGATAAATATTATGTTAAAAGTAATTTGCAGTGTATTTAGAAATTTTCTTTGCATAGTAGGTTACATAAGCCACATAACTTTAAGTTTTAATGTGGGGTGCATTCAACATAATGTGGGGTGCTAATAAAAAATACCAACTGAAAAACAATTATAATTTGAGTTGTTTTTAATTTTCTCTTCCCATATAATCTCGTTCTTTTCTTTTCTTTTCTTGTTTTTTGGTGGCAAATTAAGATTATGCTTTATATAAAAAAGAATGACTTATTTAAGACGAGTTTACACCGTTGTAGTGTCTTAGGTCAATGATATCATGTGAAATGTAAGTTTCTTTTCATGTGATGTGAATTTATTAGACCAGAACACTACATCACAGTGAATTTGCTCCGTACAAATTGCTCTCCATGTGGAGTCTTGACTTGGGTAAGTCGAAGAAACATGGCAACCAGCTGTTCTTTTGTAGTGTATGTACCAAACATGCTAGTGTACGAGAATAAAGTTGCAAGCATCAACTTTTTCGTCTCCCAAAGCTTTGGTTTTTCCACATATATCCTTCTATATACTAAACTTGCAATGAAGTTAAAGTCATAGTTCAAAGTTATTTCCACAGATGTGATCGCTCCACATGCTAAACTTGCAATGAAGTTAAAGTCATAGTCCAAAGTTTTTCCTCGTAATGTGTAAAAGCTTCCACAAATCATTATAAACTTCCCTTCGTATACTGACACCGTAACATCCTATGCCAATAACGTAATGTCATCCGGTAAAACTAAAACACATGACATTGCGTTATTGGTCTGAAATGTCAGAGTAGCGTGCGAGAATATGTAAGTCCTCACCATGCAGATAAAGTCATTGGCTGCACTCGTTGCTCGGCAAAGTTCAGAACCAAATATCTCTGAGCAAATGCTTTAGAACCTATATTATTTGTTAAAGCTGAGATTCTAAAGTAAACATATGCTATAAAATGCAGAAACTAACATAAGTATTCAAAAACAGCCAGAGTTGTTTAGAAGGGTACTTGGTAAAATAGCCTGAGAGAAAGCGTAGTTTCCATGGGGGAGGTTAGGAACGGCTCTAGGGAGGAAAGATTCAAAAAAGTGAGGGAAGCACCAGAAACTCCAGATTATAGCTTAAAACCAAAGATCCAAAGGGTTCCCTTCATGCTCCGCAATTCCAATACTTCCGAGAAGTATTACGAGCCCAGGGCCGTAGCAATAGGCCCTTTCCATCATGGCAATCCAAGGTGCGAGCTGGCTGAGGAATTCAAGCTTATGTTGACAAAAAGATTTCTTAACTACACTAGACAAACAGTTGAAGCTCTGCATCAGAAGGTTGAGGAGAAGATCAAAGAACTACGGGAATGTTACGCCAAGGAAGCGACACAAAGCTGTGATGATGAGACCCTCGCTTGGATGTTGTTCTTAGATGGGTGTTCAACCTTACAATTCATACAGTCCTTTGTGGATGAAAAGTTGGAAGAATTGTCGATCAAAAGGGACCAGATAGCCTTTGCACAACAGGACTTGTTCTTGCTAGAGAACCAAGTCCCTTATCAAGTCCTCGAGTTGTTGATGAGCTCAAGCAACAAATGCGGGGAGTTGAAGAAGTCGATCGAGACTTACGTTCAGGCGAACATTGGTGCACCTGGAAAGACGCAACCAAAAAAGCCGGAACAGACGCAACCAAACGTAGCAATAACCATGGAAAAAGAGCCCGCTCATCCGGAAGAAAAGCCCGCTCATCTTCTTGACCTTCTCCGAACAAGAATGCTAGGTACACAAAAAAATCCCGATAATCAAGATAAAGATCCACCAAAAAATCCCGATAAGCGACCTAAAGACCACTCTGTACAATCTTTTCGCAATGTGCAAGAGCTTGATGCAGCCGGGATCCATTTTACGCTTAGTAACAGTAACTATTTGGGGGACATATCTTTTGTTTCTCATTGCTTTGCAGGATTCCTTAGTCTTCCTGCAATATCGGTAGATGACTCAACAGGGCCTAAGTTCATGAATCTGATAGCATATGAAATGTGTCATGATTTCCAGAATGATTTTGCGGTCACCTCTTACATCAGCTTCCTTGATGCACTCATTGATCATGCAGATGATGTTAAGAAGCTAAGGTCAGCCGGTGTACTTTACAACTTACTGGGGAGTGATAAGGAGGTGGCTCAGCTCTTTAATGAGATTGGCACTGACTTGGTCCCTAACACTGACATATACCGCGATGTCAAAGCCGAAATAGAAAAACACTACAAAACCAAGTGGAAGACCTGGATGTCTCAATTCTGTCACGATCATTTCAGTAGCCCCTGGACTTTCCTGGCTTTCGTGGGTGTTCTAGCAGCGCTTGGGTTAACCGGCATCCAGACTTGGTTTGCAGTCTATTCTCCACCGTCTCCCTGTGATGTCGTATGCCAGAACTTGAAAATGCGGTGGAACCTTAAGTGAGATAAAGGTAATAGAAATACATAAGGTTTGTTTCACACGTGTTTTCTTCAAGGGTCTGCTGATTTGGTATGTTCAGGGTCCATACAACCCTGGCTTTTCATTTCTCATTTGCTTCACTTTGTGCTGGTATGACAAAATAAGTATCTTACTTTTGTTGGACTTTGTCAGCGTGTATTTGAATTTTGTGTGTGACAAGCGTATTTGTACGCTCATGTAATAAACAATGTGATTCCCTACTGTTTCCTATTTATCTGTTGCTCCAAAATAACTAGCAGGTTACACATTGGAAGCAACTTTTTATAAGCGTTTCCAGAAACATTTTACAGAACTTAGTTACGTGCGCAACATTCGGAGCTGAACCAAAATCAGCTCAATTCTACATTTTAAGTTCCATAAGACCTTAATTATCCCAATCTCAAGAAAAAGATAGTTCTGAATCCAAAACATTTTAAGATCACCTATCAGGGCAAATGAAGCTCTATAGTTATACTTTATGCTTATAGGACTATACAAAAGAACAATTTGTACCTTGTTTACTGTAAATATATGTACTAAAGACCTCCAAACTGTTATAGTTTTGGAATCAAACAAATTTCTACGATTTAACTTCTCTATGTTAACTAATTTCTGCAGCGGTTTGAGATCACAACTAATTTCAGTTATACTCTTTCTTCAAAACTTGATCTGCAAATGCTAATTGGCTCTTCATAGGTGATGTCATACAACAAATAGTGAACAATTTGCTCATTTTATATGAACCAATTTTTGTGGCCCTTCCAACTCCAGATCAACTTAAGTCACTTCTAGCTCTATCCTGAAAACCTAACCCATAACTGATAATTTGTAGGTGAATAATATCAAGGTAACTGTAATAAGAGTATTATCTCCCCCTTTTTAACCCCCTTAAATCCTAAACGAAGAAATCTAACCTTAATAAATGGAACAGTATGAAACAAAAACAACGGTGGCTTGCATGTAAGACAAGATTACAGTGAAAGCAGAAATATTTAAGGCCATTTATATCCACAAGAGTTTCTACCAGAGCTAAGTGTTAGACGTAAGAATATAACAGCATTATAGATGGTTTATTTTTGTTTCTGAAGAGTAGCTAATTCATAATAGTTGGTTGACGACTATTAGCAACAGTAAGTATCTTTGATATGGAAATTCACCAACATAATTTTCATATTACAAATAATATCAGTCATCCTAATCTCTATCCTGTATCAAGTTGTTGATCATCTTTACCAAAGGAGGAGTCCCCTTGGCCATAATTTCTATTCTACTAGCATTAGAAGCATGAGAAAACAGTGAAAGCCCAAAAAATACAAGATCGGGAAGAAACAGTCGAGATGACAAGAATCCATGCCAATAGCGGGGTTCTAGGTCAAAAAAAGCATTGAAAAACCTCCGAGTACCTTTCAAATCAAGCTTAAGCAGAATAGCCATACCGAAACAGAAGAACTCCCTTTGTCTCCTCCTTTGTATGGGCCATAAATCTTTCCAAATTTCTGCAGACACTTCATTTCCTGAAAGTGTTCTATCTGAACCAAGGTACTGAACTATTGCATTTGCAACAATAGGAGCTGCTGCCAGAGTCCGCGCCACCATATACCCAGTTGAAGGGTGCACCATCCCTGCTGTACCACCGATTCCAACGACTCTCTGAGGGAGCACTGGGAGCGGGCCGCCCATTGGGATGACACAATGCTCATCCTCCTCAATGCTCTTAACTTTTATGCCCAGATGCTTTAACCTAGCAGCCATCCTTTCTTGGATATCTTTCATGGGTAAGCCAGGCCGAGCTACCAGGGAAGTTTCTTCAAGAAATATCTTGTTGGATGAAAAAGGCATTGCATAAAGGAAAGTAGGGATCCTACCATTTCTCTCCTTCAGTTCGACATTATTGTTCAAGTGCGAATCTCTCCAGTCCATAAAAAGCATCTTATCAACATCAAATGGATGCTCTTCGACCTCTGCCAAAATCCCATAAGCCACTTGGTAACCTGGATTGTACGGCTTATCATACTGTACAAGACATCTTGAAAAACCAGTTGCATCGAGAACCACAGAAGCTTGAATTGTGACACCGTCATTGCAAGTCAACAGTGATTTTTCCTCCTCATGAATAACCTTAGTAACTTTAGCTTGGTGAAATTTAACACCGTTTGATATGCATTTTTGCAGCATTTTCGACTTAAGCTGCTTCCGATTAACCCTTCCATAAGGTCTATTAAGATCCTTCTTTGATTCCTCGTCTATGTACACAACAGCACCAGACCAGGTAGTATCCAGGCAGTCAAGCATATCCATTGCCTCAAATTCATCCACCCAAACACCATAATTATTGGGCCAAATCAACTTGGGAGACGGGTCAATCGAGCAAACAGAAAGGCCTGCCTCCGAAACCTGCTGTGCCACGGCGAGCCCAGCAGGGCCACCGCCCACAACAGCAAGGTCCACAACAAGACCCTTTGATGGGTCATACAAAGGAAGCTCAAATTCAAGACTTTCCTTCTTAGTTTCCGGCACAAGCTCCAGAAGAGCACTGCTACTAGCCTTAACAACACCACCCCTACTCAAGTTCACACGAGACCTCCTAAGGCCATACCTAAACTCCTCGTTGCGAAGCTTCGAAGAGCTCGAACTACTCAATTTCTCCGAAAACCCATGAATTGGGTGCAAAAATGCAAGCTTGTTATGCGTTTTAAGCAATGTATCCATGAAATTCCAACACTTGTACCGAATATCTCTCTAATATGGACACAACAAGTCCCTGAAAACACAATCTGGGTGTGAAGAATTATCGACTAAGAACCCGATTTCTGATAAGGGTTTTCTCTGAGAAACTGAATTTCACATACAGATACAGGAAGAGCTACTAGAAGAGCAGTATTAAAGCATGAACAATCCTTACAATTCGAAAAGATTTTCTGGGAATTTAGAAAGAACAACAGAAGTATGAAAATATACAAAGAAGGAAGCTCATCAGTGAATTGAAAGAGCAGAGAAGTGATCGCTTACCGAAGAGCCAAGAGAGATGAGAAAGTTCCCAAGAGATATTGTGAAGGTGAAGCTTGTGTGGGTGTGGCCGGTCCTCAACCTCAAGGACGACAAGCTCATGTGGGTTTGTGGTGGACGTCCACTGTTCTTCGTCCAAGTTGGGACACGCGTCCTGTGATCTTCATTGGTCTCTTCTTCAATTTTCCTTGCTTTAACAAATTATTATAATTAAAAAACCAAAACATTATCATTAAACAAAGAGCAAGGCTACGAATATTAAATTTAAAGACAGAAATTTGAAATGCTTAAATATCAAAATAGTTTATGTGTCATAGCTATATGCCCAATTTAATTCTTGTGTTTTTTATTTGGCTAATTTAATCTTCATTTTTTATCTGTTAACCAATTAAGAACATTTCAACTAATTTTTTTTGAAAAAAAAATTTTAATGTCAAAATAGTCTATATGTTATAGTTATATGGTCAATTCAGTCCTCGTATTTTTGACTTGGCTAATTTAGTCCTCATATTTGTCTCTTTCAACCAATGGATGACGTTTCATTCAATCATTTTTTAAAAATTCATAGGAAAAATTATATGAAATATAATTACCCATTCTCTTTACATAAAAATGCAAATCAATGTGAAATAACACATATATGAGATAAAACTTCTAATCTGAAAAAATGATTAAGGTTGTGAGATAGAAAAGAGAGGGAGTCATGTTAGGAAGAAAGTCGAGAAGTTGATAGGAGAATAATTGTTCTTTTAATTTTTAATTTTATTTCAAAATGAAATATTTTAAATCAAATAAATGATAATTATATAAATAATTATATATTAATTTATAATTTTTTTACAGAAATTACATGTAAATGTCTTTAATTAACTAACGGAAATAACATAATGATCAAATTAGTCAAATTAAAAACATAAAAATTAAATTGATCCAATAATTAAAACACAAGATCATTTTAACATTTGAGCCAATTTGAAAACTGAAAAACATGTTGATTAGGTGTGGGCATAAAAACCGCCAAACCGCAAAACCGCATCGAACCGTAAGAAAAAAAAACCGAAAAAAACCGTGTTGATCGGAAAAGTCAACTTTGAGTGAAAAACCGAACCGAACCGTTCAAACTGGTTCCGGTTCCAGTTTCGAATGACCAAGAACCGGCCGAACCGAACCGAACCGTTTTATTAATAATAAATAAATAAATTATATATACACACATGTCATGGTATAATAGGTTGAAAAATAGGTTGAAAATTTGTGTACAGGAGCTGCTGCTTCTTGCTTGCTCCCTGAAATCTGAAAACCTGCAATTTGCTTCATCATTTTTTTGTTTGTTGACTGATTGACCAGTGCATATGTATTTTAGTTGTCTCTTTTTGTTGACTTGGTGCCACTAACAAAGACATTTGCATTAAAAAAGATGTGTTGTATGCAACTTTATGTAATCAGTTTTAGAAGATGTATTTGAATGCATAATGATTTGGTGTTCAAATAATTTATTATTAAGAACCGTAAACCGGTAAGAACCGAATCGGAATCGGTGTAGACCGAACCGTAATGTTCTAGTAATAAATTTAAGTGGAACCACACCGAATCGAACCGTTAATATATTTCGGTTTCGGTTCCAATTTAGGGATGAAACCGCACCGAACCGCACCGTGCCCACCCCTAATGTTGATTATACTTTAATAGTAACCCTGTGTGCCCAAAGCTACATGAACCCGGTTACAACTTCAACCCCTGAATTTCTTCCTGCGCACGATCATCTATTAGATCTAACTACCTAATCGCATCAGCCCACGTGTCCAATCTCACCAAGGCAGTTCCACACAGAAACGCAAAAAGAAGCAGAAAGAAACTGCGAGAAAAAGAGAGAAAAATGCGAGAAAGTTAGCGATAACCAATAAAAATCAGATATGGGTAGCTCAGCCGCCGGAGAGGACTTCTCTGTGGTGGTTCTAGCGTCCGATCTCGGCATAGACGCGCGGCCGTTCTTGAACCACCAAGACAGAGAGATTGAAGAGCAAGAGAATTGGTACAACTGCCCTCAGAACCTTATCTCCGACGAGGACTTCTCCGACCTCGAGCTTTTGTAGTTCTTTCGTGTCCAAGGCCATGACAAGTTGGGAAATCGGATTTTCCGAATCGTGGGATAATATTTTCCTGGTAAACAAGCAGATCCTTACACTCTTTGTTTGCTTTATTTGTTGTTAAATTACCTGATTGAATGAACACTGATTTATCTGCTGAAATGCGAAGTTTTAGCTCTTCATACCTGAGTTAAGTGCTAAATAGCATGTTCTAGTTTATTTGGCATCTGGGGTTTGTTTGGTTTGGTAAATTTTCTGCGTTTGTTTGGGTAATTATAATTGGGGCTTATTAATTTTGGTGTGCTTTGTCAAGTTAAACCCCTTTGGCCTCGTTTTGGGCTGGTTTGGTATGTAGGATTGGGTTGGATTGGAATGCGTAGCTCTCTACTTTTAAGGCATATTGGAGGCTGAAGTGAATGATTTTTCATTTGGAGGGGATTAGAAGAGGATTAGACATGAAGAAAACTCATCCCTTCTAATCCTACCATTTTGGGAAGGATTGGAATGGATAAGTAATCTATCTTCTACCATCTAGCTGGACATAAAATTTTCATTTCTCCCCCAACGTACTTTGAAATTACGGAGTTATCTATTCCAATCCAATCCAATCCTACTCACGAAACGAGGCCTTTCTGTCTTGAATGTATAACCCACTATATTAAAGAAGTGTTGAAGGAAGAAATGAAAAAGTTGTGCCTAACTTGGAGGAAGAGGATAAATCAATCATTAAGGACACTTGTCCATTCCTATCCCACAAAATGATAGGATTAGAAGGGATAAGTTTCCTTTGTCTCCGGTCCCCTCTTAATCTCCTTCAAATAAAAATCTTCGTTCACCTCTGCCTTTAATAGACAATAATATAGTGGTTTATCCATTCCAAAACAATTCTAGAGACTAGACGTGTATAAAATGTTGCGTCTCTTGGTTTCGTTGTCTGTATTTTTATGTTTAGTTTATAAGTGGCGTCTATAAGAAATGGTTCATTAAATGGGCCCTTAAAGTAACTATGAACATTAAGCATGTCTAAACAACAGTGTGGGTTAAAATGACTGTTTTTTTCTTGAATTATGTAAAAACTAAACACTAAATGTTCATTAAATGGGCCCTTAAAGTAACTATGAACATTAAGCATGTCTAAACAACAAGCATGTCTAAACAACATTGTGGGTTAAAATGGCTGTTTTTTTCTTGAATTATGTAAAAACTAAACACTAAATGTTCATTAAATGGGCCCTTAAGCTTACTGAAACTGTGCTATGTGTTGAATAGCACACTCTATAGCATTTTTAAATTTTGAAGTCCTTATTTTAGCCTGTAGAGCATAAACCACCAGTCCCCATAATTCAAGCAGAACAAAGTGGCTTTGAGTTTTAACGTTATTGGGAAATTGAAAGAGATGACTAGATCGATTTCTAAAGGCTAGGTTTCCCTTCTTGTACCCTTCAATATTGAATTCTTAAGGTGTGGGGATAATCCAAATTAACGGGCTGGTGTTGGACATATGTACTGTTGTCAGTTGAGTAACTTGAGTTTTAGATTCTGAGAGTATTTCAAGATCGGGTTTGGGAGGAGCAAATTGAGTTCTACACATATATTGCAATTGCATCCCTTTTGGACAACGTTTTGTAGCACTTGTGTTTCTTCCAAAGTGGCTTCTTTCAGATCAATTTCTTTTGAATTTTGTCTTGGCAGGAAAATTTCACAATCTCTTGTTTTATTTGCCTTATTCTACTTTTGTGTTTTAATTTGTCGGATTATCTTTGTGCAGCTCCAGTCATGAGTGCAGATAGGTTGAAGAGGTATATATTCCACAAATTATGCAGTGAGCTTCCAGAAGGGCCATACTCCATTGTTTACATGCATAGTACTGTGCAAAAGGAGGATAACTCCCCTGGCATAAGTATCTTGAGGTGGCTTTATGAATACCTTCCATCATATTTGAAGGACATGCTTCAAGTTGTGTACTTCGTTCACCCTGGTCTCCGATCAAGACTTGTCTTTGCCACTCTTGGCAGATTTTTCTTAACTGGAGGGTGAGTATTTCATATATCTTGGATATATACTATAACAATACTGATTTCTCATTAATATAGGCATATGTTAGTTAAGGATAGTGCTATTCACACACCTATTTTTACCTCGCACACACCTATCTCAGTTTCCGGCCGTCGGATTGAATGAATTGAAAAAGATAAATGGACAAAAATTTAACAGGGGTGTGGTAAAAAGGGGTGTGTATAGCACTACCCTTAACTAAATACTGTCTTGAAACTTGGTGATTATTTACTTCATTGAACAAAAATTAAACATATCCGCCTTCGATATAAGTAGGATAGAATCATTTTTTGTTATCTTGGGGGTCGGTTCATAAGAACTTGAGGATTCGAGCTACACTATAGTATGTAGTCATGTAGGTATCCCTCAAATGACTTTATTTCCTTTAAGTAATTATCTCCCAAGTCAATCCCATGTCCAAGTTACAATCAACAGAGAATGAGTGATGGTTATCAATGAAATTTGAGAAGCAGGATGCGGCCTCGGTACATGTTTGTCCTAAAAGTTTTCTTTCTTTGCAGCCTAATTGGAAAATCAAGTATGAAAGCCGCCTGCAGTACCTTTGGGATGACATAAAGAAGGGAGAGGTTGAGATTCCTGAATTTGTAAAAAATCACGACGATGTTCTTGAGCATAGACCACTAACAGAATATGGCATCGAACTGAACCGTCTGCCCATGCTTGAGGTTCCGTCAACAGCCTACTCATTTGGAAGGTATGAGGAGAGATGGACATCAAGAGAGTATGTGTCCTAATTTGGTACTATGTAAACGGTCCTTCCCTAGTAATTGGGATTCAGGCGTCAATAAGCTCGGTTTGAGAAGTGGCTATGAATACATATGCATGCTTTGTATAGAATAATACTCTTTAGTGTTGAGTAAATTAAAATTGTTACTGCGTCGAGGCCTTGTTTCGTTTTATCGGTTCTATGTCCTAGTTAGATTCTCCCTTCTGTGTTTGAGAGAGTTCTCCTCGTTCCTTTGTGTTTATTTTGTACGCGGTAATGCTCAGATATGTTGGCCAAGGCCTCATCTGTAGTAATTGTTAATGGGTGCATTTTGGATTGTTCCAGTGAGGCATTTTAAAATCCAATCTGAATTCCAAATTTTTATCGTGTTTGGTAACATTTGGCCAAACAGTTTTTCGTTTTACGAATCAAAATGTGTTTGGACATTAAAGAATAACAATACAATAATAGTCTTTCCAGCTCTTAGAAGGGGTGGATAATCGTGGCTTGTCACTAATTGTCTTCATTTAAAAAAAAAATTATATATATATATATATATATAATTTAAAAAATATAAAACACAACCTACATACGATTCAATTTTAGGAATTTGACTATAATATTAATTGTATTTAACACATATATTATTTGGACGGTCAAATGTTAATTGTATTTTTTTTTTTTTTCATACAAGGGCTTAACATTTTTCCATCACTGTGGTACTTGCAGATGGTAATTGTAATACTTGGGCCAAAGTCCAATTCAGCCGGAAAACACCTAAAATTGGTCTCGATCCATCAAAAACCCTAAAGTTGGTGTTCTTTAATTTGTCGAATCTACAGCTTCATCGTCCCCAAACTTGTTTGGCCTTTGTTCCTGGGTTCAAGAGATGTCTAATGGTAGTGATGGTCAATGGAATACCCTTTAGAAATGGCCTATCGTCGTCGTGCACCCACGAAGCCCATTGGTGCAAACTTCACGAAACTGAGGTCAAATCATGTCTGTTTTTGGGTGGAAATGGAAGAGGGAAGGTTGATGAGTATGGTGGTGTTGTCAGGTGGCTCCAACTCACCGGAAAACCAATGGAAACGACAACGGGAGAAGTCGCCAGTAACGTGGTCAAGATCGGGTCAAGGGGGATCCAGTTTTCTTGTTCTTTTCCTCTCTCCTTTCTCTCTTTTCCTTCTTTCTGATTGGGCAACCCCCTTTCTTATTTCCCTCCTTTCCTCTTTTCTCGTTTATATCTTATTCTTTATAACTGTAAGATCCTACATCGCCCAGGGGTGAGGATCTTGTAAGCCTTATATGTATATTCCCATCTCTACCCAGCACAAGGCCTTTTGGGAGCTCACTGGCTTCTGGTTCCTTAGGTGAGTTCGCTCGATAGCAGTCCCAGGATGGGTAACCCACTGAGAAGTTCTCGTGTGAGTTCCCAGAAACAAAACCATGAGGACGTGGTCAGAGCCCAAAGCGAACAATATCGTGCTATGGTAGAGTCAAGTCTGGGATGTGGTGGGGGCTCAGGTCAGGATGTGATAATTTGGTATCAGAGCTAATCCTTGGGCGGAAGTGTGCCGACGAGGACGTCGGTCCCCTAAGGAGGGTGGATTGTAAGATCCCACATCGCCCAGGGGTAAGGATCTTGTAAGCCTTATATGTATATTCTCATCTCTGCCCAGCACAAGACCTTTTGGAAGCTCGCTGGCTTCAAGTTCCGTAGGAACTCTGAAGTTAAGCAAGTTCGCAAGAGAGCAATCCCAAGATAGGTAACCCACTGGGAAGTTCTCGTGTGAGTTCCTTGAAACAAAACCATGAAGGCATGGTCGGGGCCCAAAGAAGACAATATCGTGCTACGGTGAAGTCAAACTCGGGATGTGGTGGGGGCTTGGGCCAGGATATGACAATAACTCCGTTTCGAGAACGATTTTCGCCTACACATTTGTAGATAAAATATAACAATGACAATGAAGCATATAAGGATAAAATGAAGCATATAAGGATAAGATATAACAATGAAGCATATAGGGATAAAATATGTCCTCGTATAATTTCAGTTTAGCCAGCTAGAGCATTTTTGTCTTTTCCACATATCGAAAAAGTATTTGCTGTAAATATACATGTGTTGTAACTACAAATACGACAATGAAATACTTAATTTAATAATAACATCCAGGAACAGGATTTCACATTTTTGCCCCATTTGAATTTCATAATTAAATCACATATTTAAAAATAATCAGGGTATTACAAAACCTAAGACTTCTCACTTACATATGAAAAGGAATACCATGATTATGATATTTATAAGTTATAATGCTATTATAAAAATGTAGAATATGACAATATATTTAATTAAATCTGATCGGATCAACTTTTGTTTATATCCAAATTTGTTTTGTATTTCCTTAATTACATTAAATTTTAATTGATATAAATAAAACATTGGAGCCACTTAGTACTACGGTCTAGTTGTATTCCTCTTCACATGTAAGTGATAGATTTTAGGTTCAGTTTTCATCAAAGAAAATTTTGAACCACATTATTATGACTCACCTATTGTGAGGCTTAGTCTATCCTCCCCTATCTCTAATAAAGGAAAACTAACTAAAAGGGCATGAAAACTGTTGTACCATATATTGGGCCTCATTATTTAGGCTTCATTACTTAACCCAAGATTCATGTAGGAGGGGAGGAAACCCTTATTCTATAAAAGGGCTCCCTCACACTCACTTAAGAAAGGATAGAAGACTCGACGAGAGACAAGGGAAATAGATATAAGGGAAATGGGAGAGCAAACAGAATAGCAAAGAGAGCAAACATTGCTTCTATAGCCTCCATGTATATTCAACATTCATTTACATAGTAAAATGGAATCAACACCAGTGTAGACGTAACCTCAACTTAAGGTGAACCACGATATATTTTTTGTGTTCTTGTGCGTTTGTGTGATTCACGGTTAGATTTACGTTGGTCCAAGATCGACTCAATTTTGTGCATCAACATTTGGTGCTGTCTGTGGGAATCAATACGAAAAGTCATGTCGGTTCTCTTTCATTTTTTTCATTCCAACACCGTGAAACCCTCACAACCTCACCACAACCCTCCACCGATGAATTTGCACAACCTAAGAACCCAAAACCTCCCTCTTTGGCTTTTCCAGAAAACCTTCGCAGACCCCATCTTTACTCATAATCTCTCTCTTTAGCTTAAAGAAACACAGTCGCTCTCTTTTTCAAAGAAAAACAACCCAGCTAAGAAAAAAGCCAATCCATCCATCTACAGAGAAAGAACTCATTTTGAGTTTAAATACAAAGAGAAGCTTTGGCTAGCTTTCCTAAACACCTACACTCCTATATACTACAAAAGAACAATAGCTAAGTTGTCTTCATTTTTGTGGGTGCTGGGGAGAAGAGTCTCTCACCATCCGAAGAGTTGAAGCAGTAGAAAAAGAGTACCTATATTATTAAACCAAAGGGCTGAGCGCACGGTACAGCCATTGGCGAACCTAGTGACGGTGGTGAGCCCGTAGTTTCTTGCCGTGTACCCCGTGGACCTGGTGATCATGGAGAAGACAGTGACAACAGGTTGCTCAGGCAATCATGGTGCTCCTTCTCACGATCCCTGGCCTCGACGACCTCCGCAAGGGCCTCGTCACTGTCACCCTGACAAAGCGGATCCTGACCACACTCAAAAGGCTTGCTAGTGGGGGCCGAACCCTTGTCACCACCATCCACCGGTGGAAACACTCACGAAGAAGATAAGACTTTATCTTTCTTTATGTTTTTTCTTAATTATTTTATAAATGGTGCTCCACTTTCTCCAAAAAGCAACGGGTCGTAGCAAATAACCAAATTCTCTGCCTTTGAAAAAAAGGGTCAAATAAAGGAACAATCATTCCCCAACAAACATGATGATTATATCTTTACTTTTCCTTTATTTTATTTTATTTGCTGAAAGTGGATGTGAGTTGGCAGCCGAAAGTATACAAGCTAGTATGCATAGTCTGCATGATGTCTTTACTTTTCCTTTGAAATGATTATATTATAAATACTGTTTTGGCGGCTCTTGTTTGCAAACTTATCAACAGACGCTTGCGGCTTGCATGCAGCTCATATTATTTTATTATTTGCTGTCTGTGCCACATACACTAGGAGCAGCATTACAGGCCGCATACTAGTTGTTCGCACGTTACTTAATTTTGTTATAATATCACTAGTCTTTGTATCTTATTTATGGTTTATCACATGACTATTTCTCATAATACGTGGCAAATCTGACCAAATTACACTTTTTATTATTTGAATGTTAAGGTGACATAACTTTGGTGTTTCATGGCACGGGCTCTATTGATCAACATTGTTACTGATTTCATGGCACGGACTTTATTGATCAACATTGTTACTGATTAAAGAAGCCTACCAACTTATAGACTGACTAGCTGCATTCTTATGGTGACAAAGATTTAGTCTGAACAATAATCTTTTGTCTGACCAGACATTCGCTTGCTCAAACACTCACTTGCTCGAACACTCGCTCATTTGGACACCTATGTGCTTAGACGTTCGTGAGTTTGGACACCCATTCGTTCAGGCACTTACGAGATTAGACACCGTCAAACTTGGACACCCTTGAGCTCGAACCCTGACTCACGAACCCAACTTGTGGACCCAACTCAAAGACCCTACGTATGGCCCCAACTCAAAGACTCAACTTGGGGACTCAATCCGCCGATTCGACACATAGACCCAATATGCGAACCCGACAAACAGACTCGAGTTATGTCAAAAGTTAACTCATAATGAGCGCACACTAACATCGAGTGCATACTCGCAATGAAGAATGCCACAAGCCGAGCCATCTCGCAACGAGCATTGCCTCCAGCCAAGCAACCGCCTCGCCGCGAGCATTGCCTCTAGCCGAGCAGCCTTGCAACGAGTGCTACCTCTAGCTGAGTATTTCTTCACGTTAAGCACCGTCTCATGTCGAGTACTAGTTCTGGATGACATCTTAGTCACTTCAGCCCTCACATGGATTGAATTTGAAGTCTCCAACCAAAAAACTCTCTACTTCTTAACTTAAGACTTGGGGGACTTCTGTTGTACCATATATTGGGCCTCATTATTTGGGCTTCATTACTTAGCCCATGATTCATGTAAGAGGGGAGGAAACCCTTATTCTATAAAAGGGCTCCCTCACACTCACTTAAGAAATGAGAGAAGACTCGACGAGAGACAAGGGAAATAAACAGAGGGGAAACGGGAGAGCAAACAGAATAGCAAAGAGAGCAAACATTGCCTCTATAGCCTCCATGTATATTCAACATTCATTTACATAGTGAAATGGA